GAGATATATGAATAAGGGATTAGATTGTTTCTAGCGGAAGGATTTAAAATGCCAAAAGTTTGCAAGAAATAGTAAACACGAAGAACTAGAGAAAGTTTAGAATGCTTACAAACGTTTTGGAACTAGAGCGAGTACAAGGATAGTTTCTTGCTCGAGTAAGACTCTGGTGTTTGTCTACCGATACAAGGATGGATGTATGTATGGAAGGTAAGCATTATGTATCGATATTATTCTCTAGTTCTACCGAGAATAATCCTTATGTCCCCTTGTCCATAAGGATGTCCCCTTATCAGGGATTGTGTCTACCGATACATTAGGTACAAATGTAACGTCGTACCAGACACAATCCCTGATCCATGATAAACTGTTTGTCTACCGATACATTAGGTAAGCATTATGGATCGATATTACTTTAGTTCCACGCCGTATTACTTTAGTTCCACGCCGTATTACTTTAGTTCCAAGCGGAAGGATATATGAATAAGGGATTAGATTGTTTCGATACATAATCCCTGATCCATGTATCGATGATCGATCCGCTTATTTTCAAGAAATGCTTACCTTCCATACATCCATCCGGGTAAAAAAATAGAAGAGGATAGAACCGGATACATGGATCCATGTATCGATCCATACTGGTCCGGGCATGGATCGATACATGGATCAGTCTGGTTAAAATAATAAAAAAATTGAAAATTGGTGGCCCCTGCCCAACTTAGCATTAAAAAAGGAGAAAAAAAGCAATTAGGGCTTTTGAATGTGAGCCCTCTTCTCGCGTATGATGCCGCAGCCCTCGCCGCTGCGATGGCTAGAGCTTCAAGTGAAACACCAATCTTCTTCTCCGTCTTTTTCTTCTCACCTCCTTCTGAGCTCCCACTGCAATGCTGCCTCTTCACTGCTGCCACTGCCACTGTCGCTTTTACTTCGGCACTGCCGCTGCTTCCCAAGTATGCTGCCACTGCACTTCTCCTCCTCTTCTTCCTTATTCTTTCTTCTTCCTCCTCTATTCCTCCACTGCCCCTTCCTCTTCACCCTCTTTTTCTTCATCGTTGAAACGTCGGTACGCACCAGCGTATCTTGTGTTGGTACACCAGTACAGACTGGTATATATCGATCTGACAGGTTGCCATAATGGGTCCGGTACTCGAAAAAGCAATCCTTGCATGGAAGATGACTTCTATGGAAATTTGGAGAAGACCAACATTAAGCTTGATTTAGTTAGGAAAGGGGCCAATTCTGGACTGCAATAAGTGTTATTCTCATGCAAACAGGAGGGAAGGGGGGGCAGTGCAGTACTGTAAGCATTATTTTAGCTGTGGTGCTTTAGCATAGGGGTACTGTGTATAATTATATAATTGAGAATTAAGATAAGTAGAATTGAGTTAGGAGTATGGTATTAACTTATGGCACTACTAGACTATAAACTGATTATGCAAATTCAAGAGAAAATATTGCCAAAACTAATGAAATAGAACAAATTGTAGTAAAATGTTGAACACATTTGGAATAAGCGAGCAAGTGTTCCACCAAAAACCAACCAACTAGAAGCTCCATAACGTATAAGCAAAAGGATCATATATGTCCCTAAGTAGGAATTCATTCTCTACTAATATAATCAAGGAGATTGATCCAGTGTATTTTGGTGCAAAATCTTACTAGGATAACAAGCAAGGAAATTGATACCACAATAATTTGAGTTATGGGAATTAGAAAAAGTTGACAACTGGAAGGAAATAAAAGAAAACTAAGCTGCATCAACTAGTAAGAAACTGTGATCTTCAGTTTTTGGATGAATGCACATGTTTCAGTATTTTCTTTTGTAGTTTATTGTCCAACTTGAGGTTGTTTATTGGATTTTTTATTCTAATTTATATGGCAATAACCCAGTAGAACTCTTGCATCAGTTTAACTGATGCCGTTGAAACTATGAATGATTTCTTGTTTTCAATTTTCTTCTAATAAACACTATGCAGTTCGAGGGAAAGATAAAACAATTAACTAGTGTTTTACTGGAGGTTGAGCTCGTAACTTAAGCAACATAAGTCTGTTTCTGAACTGAATCTCCATCATAGAACAAATTTTCTGGTACTTGAAATGACTTTTTGAAGTCGGCAATCTCAAACTCAAGCAATTTTGAAGTCCCAACTAACTGAAATTAGAATCTGAACAGTATATTAATCTTTTTGCTGCAACAAATCTCAATATTAGTTTTTTTTAATAATGCACTAATGCAGGGTTTTAGTAGGATCGATGGATGTGGCTATACTCTTTAATAAGAGAGGTTCTTTTTGTGACTCAAATCATGTCCTCTATTTGCAAATAAGTATCCTAACCATGGTGCCAAGGCTCGCCTCATACATCTCCTCTTTGTTCTTGCTTTATAAAGCTGTCATAGAGGTATCAATAAGAGCTGGAAATTGCTTCATGGTTTTTCTCTTCCCTTAAATATAGGTAGCATAGTGGAACATAAATATTAGCAGATTTGTAGTATCACTTTTAAATGGATTCTGTGGACATGGGTTGTTTGTCAGCCCAAAATGTAATTATGCATAATAAATAGAATGTACCACTTATTTTTCAAGTTTTCCTGAAGAATATGTACACTTATGAGCTATTCCTCGGTAGATGAGGCACTGCAACAACAACAATAACAATAAAGACGTAAATCCCAACTAATAATAAGGTACTGATGAAATCAACTTGTGGATGCAGGTTGATGCTGAGTGACCAGATGCAGTTTTTCATTAAATAATCACAGGTCACCTCTTCCTGGTATCCAACTCTTTTGCTGTTTCTTGCAGTTGTCATTGGTTTTCCTTAATATCCTGGTAAAAAATGATGCATACTTACTGTGTCATGAAACAGATAGTGGAGGTGTGAGCTGTTGCCAGTTGCTGTCTCTTCATAATATATCTGGGTTGATGGATGAACTCATTAATTTGGATGATCCTGCTGATAATATGCAGCAGGAGTGATGTATATTAGGAGAGTGAAATAGATCCAGATGGGAAAAGACATACTACAGATATTACGTTTCAGACATCTCTCAATGCAATTCTAGCTATGTATCCACTATGAACACTACAGAAGAATAGTGCAGCCACTGGAAGGTTTTTATTCATAAGTTTAGAGCTACAAATTGCAGAGTATTGTGGAGTTGGATGATTGTCACAATTGCTTATTAAGGTTTGGAGAGATTGTGCTTGAACGCAAGTGATAAAAGCAAAGCAGAGAAATCAATGTTGGAAGCTTCTTGTACACAACTATTCCTTGGAAAGGTTGTGCCAGTGTGAAGAGGTTTTGGGACTTGAGGAGTGGAAGGTTGTGCCATTGCAAGTCTAAAGAAACATTACTTTTCTTGTACTGAATCAAAATTCATGCAACTGAACAAGAAGATACACGTATGCATGCGCGCGCGCAGGTCGCACACACACACACTTGTTCACTGTGTTAATTTACTAGTTGAGAACTTGAAAACTTGAGTTTCAAGTGTTGCATTTGGGAGTAATCCCTGTGGCTTATGGAAGTGGTCTCAAAAAGTCAGTAATCCGTGTGGCTCATGGAAGTGGTCTCAAAAAATCACAAAGTCTCTCTCTCTCTCTCTCTCTCTCTCTCACACACACACACACACACACACACACACATTTGAGTACTCCCTGTGGCTGCAGGTGTCCGGGCAACTGCTTGCAAGTGATGAATCATGAGTTGATGAACAACAAAGCAAATGTAGCAAAATTTCTGCTAGTGTTTCAGATGTTAGGAACAATTGGCTGTGTGCATGTGCCCGAGTTGCAGAGTTGAAATTTAGAGAGCATGATGGAAGTTCCTATTGAAGCTCAGTGGGGGGTTGTTTACCACCAATTATCCACAAAATACAACATAAAGCGATGAAGATAGGGAGAAGAAGGAACATATGAGAAAAGAGGAGAGCAATCACACTCATCTTCTGTAATGTGACAGCATAGTACCCAAACAAACCTATTCTAGGCAACACTGCAGTTCTCACTTGCCTCACTAACTTAAAACATAACTCTTCACTAACTTCAGTTCTCATCTTCCACCAGCTGCCTAAAATTGATGGGACTCGCAAATTGTTGCGAGCCATAGTAGATGGCTGATCCTGCAAGCTTGGATGTCGCGTGTGTTGGATGCAAGAGGTCCCAGAACAGGTAGTGGTGGCGCTCGGAGCAGTAGGTAGCATTAGGAGTGCATCCTGATTGGCCGTTGAACTTGCCGGCTCCACAGCATGCAGTCTTGATCTCCTTGTAACCTGCAGACACGGTGCTTGTTAAAAGCCCAAGCTTGTCATTTTGCTACAAAGAAAATTGTGGTTGTGTGCGTACCGAGAGCTTCTGGGTTTCTTATTATGCCGGAAACCACCTCATAAGAACTTCCAACCGAGTACTTCATCCCTTCCAATGTTGAGCTAAGATTGAGCATCAACGAATGCACAGCTTTGTTGAACCCCAGAGACAATTCGTTCAAGATGTCCAGGCAACCACCTGTAGGATTCAGGCTTCTTGGATACGGGCAGCACCCAATGGGAGGGACATCAACTAAACCAAATTTCCTTGCTCCAAGAGTAAACAATGCCTGCCATGTTAATTTCAGGATCTCTAAATCAAGTAGAAAGGTGCAGTGAAGATGTTGTGATCCATGAAAATGAAATGCAGGGAAAGAGAAAGACAACCTTCAAGTGGTTCTCATATTGTGAGGCAAGAGTAGCAACAAACTGATCCTTTTCAGTAGTGTTTGGAGAGTTATTTTTCGTAAAATAGGCAAATATATCATTGCCTCCACTGCTGATAAGGAAGATGGATTTTGAGAGCAAATGATAAGTAGGCTCAGTAGCAATTTGTGTCATAATATTCGATCGTAACGTGGAGAAATATTGAATCTGCTTTGTCATGGTAATGGTGCTCCCCTGGCACATTCATCAGAAACAGATCACTGGCTTTCGTATGAGAGTAATTTCTGGACAAAAGTAATCTAAGTGTCATCATAATACAAGTCGAAAACCAATGGTTATGCTTACAGTCGAGTCGAGAATTCCTGATCCTCCAGAAGCAAAATTTACACCTTTGAGCCCTTTAAAGATTTGGTGATTGGTCTTGTTAGTGAGGGAAAGAAAAGATGGAGGGCTCCTCCTAAAACCCATATGGATGGCTGAACAGAAGATGGAATAAATTAGAGATCCAACAGATGCAAATGGAAAATATGGGCCAAAATAATATGCAAAACCATTAATGTATGTACTTGTCGGCCACGTAGGGCTGGATCACTTTGTGTTGCACCAAATGGTTGATAGATCAACAAGCTATTCACATAACTAATCACATTATAGCTATTCACATTATGACTGTCAAATATAATGTTGCAAAAAAAAAACACACACACACACACACGTAAACGTGTGTGAACATCTCTAATTCCATAATGGGAAAAGAAAAATAAAAAAAATGTAATTTCAGTCCACTTGGCACATCAAAATCTTATATTACTTTAAGGATTTGATAAAGAAGATTTTACTGATTCTTTATCATATGCTTTCATATCCTTTACTTACATAATATGATTAGAAGTTTGATAACCTGAAGATTACAATAAAATTAGAGAAAGGATTCTGATTTGAGGCCTTGGAGAGAAGCCTATGTGGTTATAACTTCATCCAGCACCTGCTTCCACTTTCTTTATTTTCATTTACTTGATTAATTGAAAATTCAGCTTCCCCTCCCCCCAGTGTTTATTGCTATTGAGTTCAAGGTGCTCTGATAATTCTGAGCTGCTATTTTTATTTTTCTTTCTGGCACAGGAAAAGATCCCCTGCCCTAAAATAACATGAAACTTGAAGGCCCCTTAAGAATGCTGAAGTATGAGAAAGGTATACTGACAAATCTCGAGAATATATTATGTAACATATAGTAATAAGAGTGACAACATTTCATAATAAATCAATCTTATTTCACAGAACCTAGAGAGTCTACCATGACACTAATATGAACATCTCTCTTTTGCTCCCTCAATGAGATGTACAACATAAATCCGATGAAATATGGACAAGTGGACATTGATCTTAAATTTTAGTTGATGCAATCGAACAAGAGCAACATGAAAGTTGATGCTAAGGTCATGCTTGAACTCATCTTTAATATTTTTACACCCAAACACCTTTCACATTGTCCACAATCTATAAGCTAAAGCTACTAAGAACCATTTTCCTTGCCGACTAAGTGTATGGAACCGATAGCCTTCACTGCCATTAAAACTAGAATTATTGAAGGTATAAAGCAGCATACTCACTCCTGCAAACAATGATTCTATGCCGGTAATAAGCTGATGGGCATCAACATATGATTTTTGCTGGATCTACCATTAGTATCACCCTCTCATAAATTCTACATAATATCCTTTCTCTGGTATATAATACACTATAAGGCTGCTGCATTTTTCATGTCATAGTTGGTGAACATGCCAAAGGAAAGATGTCTTCTTGAGGATGAGTGTAATGAAATGGTCACTGGCTGGTTTAAGAAAGTGAAGACAAGGTCACACTGCCGCGTCATGATAAGGACTGAAACTAGCTTTGGTTTGATCTAAAAGTAGTTGATTTTTTTTCTTTTGAAATTTAAAATTGAGATTTGCTAATTGAGCTAATTATTTGTTTCATATAGTTACATTTTAAATTGTCTTGCCATTTTTTTCTCTCTCATAAAAAGAGGAGGATTTTCTAAAAACGACATTCCGGTTATCATCTACTTGTGTTAAATTATGCCGGTCTTTGATTTTTGGATCAAAGCCTCCTTTTGTCTATTAGTGTATAATATTTTTGATTTCATATGAAAAAAGCATTAAATATATGCCAACTCAAAAAACATTACATGAGGGTTAAAATTTCTAACCATTCTACATACTTCTCAACCACTGTATAGCAGAGTAAAAAAGAGTAGCAAGCCCAACAATGGAATATGCAACCCCTTTTGATAAGAAAAGAGGGGTCTTTCTGGTAAAGTTCGGAATGCTTTATGGACAATCCAGCTTGAGGATTAGCAAACATGTCAAATGCAAAGCAAAATCCTAATAACATGAAATAGATAACATTTTCTGTAATGTTAAACCATTTCCTATCTCTATATCTTGAGGATCCTGTGAACATCTGGCTCTGGTTTCTGATTCTTGGAGTATGGCTAGTGCTCCTTTGAACTCTTTAATCAGCAAGCACCACTCCTTTTCACTTTAGACTTTAAACACCTTTTGACCACCTTTAATTTTTTCACTTAGATCATCTTAACTTCCATTCTAAAGCATTCAATTCCTTCTTTCACCTAAGACATCATCCACTCATGGACCTGTTCTTTTGTTTCGGGGAGATCATCTCATTACTACTGGTGAGCGACTAAAGGTTTTTAAGAGCATCACTTACCTAAGAAGTCAATACCATTGTATCCATTGCTGAACCTCCCTGTTGGCCTTGAGAAAGGGAAGTCGATGCCATTGTGGGGGAAGTTGGCCTTGGCGTTGCTCCTCTGCAAGTAGTTGTTGTTGCCTACGTCGGCCGTCGAGTCCCCGAAGACATAGATCGCCGGAACCTTGCCAGCTTGAGCCCCTCCAAGTGCAAGCACAGCAGCAGTGACCAACAGAGGGAGGTGGAGGAGAAGGTAGTGGCGATGATGAAGTGGGAGAGGAGGAACTCTCATGGTGGAAGCCATGGCTTCTTCCCAAGCTGAGCTGCCACTGATTAAAGTAGTGGCTCTTATATAGACTTTTTGGCTGGGCCATGAAGGACATGTGGATCCACTACTTTGAGCAAAGCAAAGCAATAGACTAAGCAAAGCTGAGAGAAAAGACGGTGGTGGCTGCAAAAGGAGTGTCGCTCAACAGTGGCAACCACCCTACCAGCACACTGTTGCCCAGGTTGGGGTGCATGCGTTCGTAGTTGCTTAAGCCATGCCATGGCTGCTCTAAACACCATGTGAGGAGGTTCTGCTTTGGTTGATTCAACCCCACCCAAAGGAACAAAGGAACGCCAGAGCTTCTTGAAGAAAGATGGCAGTCACAGCTTTAACAAAAAGGAGATAGCTTATCAGCAAATATGCTGTCTAAAATTTCATTTATTATAGAATAATTTGAAGAAAAATTACATCTTTTTTTTTTTTTTTTTTTTAAGCTTTTAAGAGGACTGGCAGTGCAATGAACAAGTAGAGAGCATATCATGGCCAGCACATGGCTTTTGGAGATACCAGAATCATACTTACTTTTGTTTGTGAAATGATCATTGGATGTAACGTCAAAGAGAACACATGGATTAATTATGGGTCCAATTCCAAAAATATATTAAAGCAAGAACAAAGCAATAAAACAATGAATTTTATTTGTTAGCTAAGATTAAATGACAGATACCAACTATTTCGTGAAGAAATACTGTCTAACTAACAACTAACGTTCGACAATGTCAAAGAAAACAAAGAAAAGATGGAAGCATTGCTGTCTAAATAGTACCATCAGTAGTCGACAGTATAATTTTGAAGTTTACTGCTTAGCATTACTAACCCCAGTGGTAGTTTACTATTTAGCATTAGTATCACCATCTTCCAACATAAATATACTGTACTAACAACCAAAATTATCATTCATCCTTTGTTTCCTGTTCCACTTCCGATGAGATGCTAAAACCCTGGATTTGGGCTCAGCGAGTGGAACTTGATTCAAACAAGTCACTCCGTTTTTTTACTTAGTAGCACAATCTTAAGTTGGAGGACTACATCCGATTGTTAGCCTTACCAATAATTAGCAAGCACATTTACTTCTATTCCCGTATGTCTCTCGGCATTAACCCATTCCCTACAGACAGCACCGACAGATCGAAAGGATCATCTGTATCCCACGATGCATCTGAACTTGAAACTATTATTGCCTGCATGTGTGGACAGCCTTCGAACCTCTCAACCAGGTTCTAGCTTGTCCAGAAACTGTTTTATGTAAGCTTCCAATTAAATAGCCTCCCTGAAGTAGGAGAGTTACACAAAAGACTGCAATGAAGTTTGCAGAGTCACTTCACCGATATGGTGTAAATTTATTGAGCAAGAGGTACTCGAAAGGGGAGAGTCGTTGTTCACATTGAAGTGTTGTCAGTGGATTAAGTTTTCTTGACATGCATGACACACACAAGTTTGCAGGTTTCACTGCAATGTCAAAGATTCTGACATTGGTAACTGGAAGCTCATTCTCTGATTCCCAGAATCCTCGCTCTCCATGAATCACGACGCAATGCAAGGATCTCCAAAAAAAAAAAACAAAATAATTGGAAACATTCTATTAACATTGCAATAGGAAAAAGGAAGACAATATAATTAAGCTCCAACCCCCTCCTCGACCTGTACTCTTGAACACGTCTTTTGCTGTCGCCAGCTAAAACTTACTTGACAATATATCTCGGACTTAAATATTTAATGGCAACTCATTATGACTGGGACATATTTATCAAGACCGAGGAAGTTAACAGTAAAGTAAAAATAATATACAGGGATCAGTGTATCAGAAAAAAGAAACATTTTAGTACTGAGATCATATGCCATTCACTATACTTGGTTGACTGTCATCTCGGTACTCCGAAGACAGTTGTAGAACCCATAGATCAGATCCTGTTTCAAGAGCATTTAAGACCAGAAGAAGAAGAAGGGATTTTTCTCTTTTATTCCAAAAAATATGAAAGAAAATAGAAATTCCAACTGATAAATACACAGTCAATTTTGTCATATTCATTCTCGAATCTGTTTCACTACAGAGGCATAATGGAAACCTTAATTCAATTTAAGTAGATTATATAGTGTTGATATCTAACAAATTTCCACTTGCTGCCATCAAAGAATCATAAGAGATGTAAGAAGCTAATAAATTTCATTTTTTAATTCAACTAATTATTTAGATTTGTGAACTCATTCAAGATCTAATTTGGAAAACTTATATTTTATTTTATCTACTCAATTCGATTGTATTAATCTAATTTACGCATCAATGTGGGACTATATGCAAACAAGTAACATGGTGGGATACAAAATTGATTGTGTAATTCATCCTAATGCACAATCCAACGAATTTACTGTCTCATTAGATATGTTATTAGAGGGCAGCATTTGCTACTAGAGTTCTATAAAAGAACAAATATCTAAATTATAAGGTATTGTAATAGTCAAATCTGAAGTTTGCAGGATTCAAAGCTTGTTGTAACCTGTCATTAATGTCAGTTAAAGTAAGATTAAGTTACACTTGCATTTAACCTAATATGTTTTTTGTTTTCCTCAAAGATCCACCTGACATCCGTTTAAACTGATATTAAGATCTTGATTTTTCAATGTCAGCAATAAATAAAACCTGTAGGATTTGAGTATTTAATTTCTCGCTCTTTTGGGTGCTGACTAATATATAGTCTGGAATATCAAAGTCAATTCAGCCAAAAAGAAATGGATCGTGACTAACATACATCATCAATAACTTATCACTAATATTTTTTTTTTGTTGTTAAAGAACGGTGGAGGTAATTTGATCAATTTGTCATTTTCACAACTCAATCATTTTTCCTTCAAGTCTGATAAATTTTATTGGCAAACTAATAGTGCAAGATCTATCTTCATCTGACATGCTAGGTTGTGGTTTATTTTGACAACATAATTTTTGCTATTATCCTTAATCTTGTTTTAACTCATTACTTGTTATTTCTACAGCATTTTACCTTAGTCTGATTGATTCAAGCATTTACCTCACTATCTTCTTCTCGTGGGAAACGGCAGAATCATTCAAATGCATCCTGCGGCAAACGGCGGCCCTTAAACATGAAGGATCTCTTGAAAATTATCTGGCTAAGACCAGATGTTAGGGAGGTAAAACTCAACTGTGATGCCTCTCTGAACCAAAATGGTGATGAGGTATTGGCTTTATTTTGCGTATCAATATCGGTGAAGTCTGCTGTGCTGTAACGTATTGATACAGGTTAACTCTTCTACTTTACTGGTTCAGGTATTGGAAGAGGAGCATGAAGAATAGTCTCTTAATAGAATAGAAAGATTTTATCAGGAAAATCTTATCTTCTATTATGCCTCCGCTGGTGCTCTGATAAGGATACCAATCTTGGATCGATGCCTTTTCAACGAAGAAAAGAATAGAAATAAGAATAATTATTGAAAAAGTTGAAAAAACTTTATTGAATACATTAACATGTTCCCTCTCCTATTTATACAAATTAGGAGAAAGGATTTCCCTCAACAGAATAGAGAGATTTCCTTAAGGAAATCTTATCTTCTATCAGAGCATTCTCAATCTTAAAACTGCTACTATTCGAGAAGTCCTATTTAAGTTTTGCTGCAAGGAGTTGGTCGTATACAAGTTAAATCTGACTCCAAATTCTTAGTAGACATCCTTTTAGGTTCTTCACGATGCAAGGGAAAGAATGCAAGGATTTTCGATAAAATTAAGATAGTTATAGCATTTTTCATAGGGCATTTTACTTAACAAAGCCCTTGAACCTCCTAATTACTTGTGGGGTTTTATCTAATGGTACCTCCTAATCCTAATTAATTTTTATCTAGGGGCACTTTTATTCTAAAAAAAATTAATAAAGTCCTCGAACCAAATTATTTAAACCTATTGATGATGAGTTAGGTTAAGTTTGGTTAGGGCATCTCAAGCTGAGTTAGGTTGCTTTAGATCAGATCGGATTGGGTCACAATGGGTCTGGTCCGTAAAATTAAATGGGCAAAGGGGTAGATGTTGCAGTTTTCAATGTATCTAAGTGTAATCCTAGTGCGTTAGGCAATAGAAGATCGTCGGAAAAAACCTAAACTTATTGGACTTGTTTTGTTTAGTATATACCTTAAAAATCGTAGTTAGCACATAATTATACGTAGGTTTGAGAGATAATCCTATTAAAGCCAATTAGGCCCATAATTAGATTGGTTTAGGCTGGATTCAAGGGCCAACCAGGTTATTGAATCCTATCTGGTGGTGACACCACGACGTGGAATCGCCGGTGGCACCACCGACAGTTATTACTGCCAAGTGGTGGTACCACTAGAGCCTAGTCTCTAAGGCTCTATTAAGTGGTAGTACCGTTAGATTAGGCGGTGATACTGTCCAGTGTCAATGATGTAAGCGATGGTATCGCCCAACACAGGTGGTGGTACTATTAGTACCTTAGAAACTCGGGATGAGATACTTTTTGGCTCCAATTTTCAAGCCATCGGGGCCTATAAATACCCCACCATTTTCAAAGCGTAACAAAGTATAATCAAAATGTAAAAAAATCTTTAAGTATTGATGTGTAAAAGTATTGTAAAAGTACAAAGAGTCCTCATCTTCCATCTCTTTAGTTTTATAATAATCCAAGAAGATATGTGAGGCCTGTAAAGGTTATCTCGTAAATCTGTGAAAAGGAGAAAGCACTATAAAGAGATGATTGGTCTTCATCTATTGAAGGAAGATTATTAATGGACTCTGATGACCTCAACGGAGGAGGAATTAGAAGTGGATGTAAATCACAACGATTGAACCACTATAAATTTTGATGTGTTCTTTCCTTACTGCTTATGTTCTTTACTTATGCTGTATTCTATTTTACTTCATTACAAATTATTCAATCTCCTCTTCTCTACTCACTTACTAAAGCCAAACGTCTTTTCAAAATGATTTTCGTCGAATTAAAGTTTTTTTCATCGTACGAAAT